CTTTGAGGATTAGCTCAATATTTCGCGTCGGGATTCCACCGTACGGGGTCGGAGTCTCTCGGGGATGTCGGAACGGAATTGAAAACTGAGGCCCGAATGAATTTCCGACGATCGGGAGCACTCAACGAGCCTTCTCCTCATTCGAATATTCAAATCGAGGGGTCTGCGTCGTCGGTGGAGGCTGCTCTACTTTCTGGATGGGAATCCGCGGTACGGATCTGGAGGAGCTGTCCTCATTCGGGAGCCTAAGAAGTGTCTGTGCTGATGGAGACCGTCGGAAGAGCGACGGATAGAATTGCTTCCTGGGGAAAAGTCCAGAACCGACCGAAGGCATTGCGCGTCCAGGGAAGCGAATCGCGGAAATCTGGATTCGTGGACTGAAGGTCTACATTGGCCTCGGGCATTCATTTCGACGGCAATCTATCGACTGCGCATTCTGGACTCGGCCGCGCCAGATCTCCGAAACCTTGCCATTCGGAGCTCTCGAGAATCGCAGTTTCGTGTGATCGAACGTCGAAGCGACCATTTCTCTTGGTCGATTTCCCTGACCACAGCTCGCTCTCTACGCCCATGAGACACCGACAGAACATCGCCGACGTTTTTCGCCTATTCCGAAGGAAATCGGAGAGACTGGAGAGCAATCCAGCCTTCGGAGAGAGAACACCTTGGCCTCGGACAGAATGTTTTCGTGACAGTGAGAAAAGCATTCCAGAAAATGCTCGTCGACGAGATCTAAATTGGTCAGACCGAGTCTGAACAGCGGTGTTGTTGTCAAGCCTAAAATTAGCCCTAGTGCTCAGCCTGATTTTCCCCGAATCCTAACCGTAGCGCGCATTCGCCGTGGCCGCTTTCGCCTTCATTTGATTGGAAATACCTTCCGAGCGTTCGAGATCACAGGGAGTCTCCGGACTCGCTGGGAGTCCCGGTAGACCTCGAAGCGAAAGACGATCACGGAGGTCCTGAAAACCTCAGCTCTGAGTTTTCAGAGTCCCAGGAGGTTTCTGTCTCGCAATCGAAGCGTACGCCATCATCCTCAGAGGATGCAACGAATCGAATGAGGACGAGGGAATGAATTCTCCCTGATTGCCCGCTGGCCGGCCCGCTCACTTGCTTAAGCATTCGCTAGCCGATGTCCATCGATCCGATTGGACTCCACAAGGTCTGGCTGCTCCTTCGCGAAGATAACAGAACTATCGGTCGACGAGCGAGCCCAAATCAGTTTACGCTTCACCCGAACGGCCCGATAGAATGACCTACTTTGCTCCCGGAAACACTTGAGCTATTCATGTTCTTCTTTGATTCTCTCGCATTGTGTCCATCCCGAAAATAGCAGACTTCCATCTTGCGTGCGTTCGTCCGCTCCCCGCCCCCGCATCCCGGCTTCAGATCATCTGTTTCATAAGCTGCCGAGAAACTTTCGAAAAGGTCTCCGACTGTCGCAAGCTCAACATCTGTCCCGAGTTCAAAACATCGCCACCCGATTGACCTGCAATTTCGCTTCCTGGTCCCCACCTCGACCGGGGCACGCTCCTGAATGAAGGTTTCCGTTCAGTCGAGCGTGAGACGCAACGATACTCTGGGGGGCATTGGGCATTGGTCTCATCAGTTTCGGAGACCGGGGGCGTCAGAATGGAACGCCAAGTGTCCGGCAGCATGTCGATCGGTCGGAGACATGAATGTTCGCGGGGATCGTTTGCGCCCATATAAGTTTCTCCTCTCCCTGACATGATTCCGTCCTCTGATTTCTCCCGCCTCGTTCAGGGGGGGGGGCGCCCTGAAAGGAACGCCCACACTTGACTGACAAGCTCTGAGAGGCTTCTCCCTCGGTGACCTAGTTTGCCGTTTCCTTTTCTGGAGCACAGATCGGATGAATGTCCACTGTTGTCCCCGATAGAGTTACCTGCTGCGAGAATCGGTCGTCGGCACTGATTTTGGCCGTCTCTCGTCTCCTTGAGTGAGGCTCTCCGCAGCTGATTCATTCGCTCGGAGGGACAGGATCGGATCCTATGTCCCGCTCTGGTCCTTTATTGGAGGGGCGAGTAGCGCTCGAGATAAATATAATAGTGACACCCGCAACAGCTTTCTGTGTAGAAGTTTTCTATCGGGCAATCTCTTGAGCACCCTGGGCACAAAAGCGTCAGGAAGAGAACGTCGGCGGGCGGTGAATGCACGCGTCGAAAAGTATTTTGTCCATAGGCTCACCCCGCCTTGCGTTTTCGCGACGGGAAGCCTGAAGGCTGGAGCCCGGGGTCCGAGAGTCCAGAGGGCCCCGAGACTTTTAGAAGAAACCCCCGTGCATGCTATGCGCATTTCTGCATCAATGCCGTTTCCTTCATTGCCTCGGCACGAAGTCGGGTCAGTGGGCCGCTTCGAGGGGGTCAGAGTGGGATAGTCACGTGGAAATGCGTAATCAACTGCGAGCTGAAATCATTCATTCCAATAGATCATCGGTGGGGGGAACGACTAAGATTAGATACAGAGTCGATTTTCAGGAAAACAACGTTGAGAGAGGTTAGATATGAACATCGATTTCTGGAAGTCATCCTGACTAATAATGGCGTGACCCGGCTCCTCCCCGACGGGGATAGTCCGACGACCTCATTGAGCGCCTGGGCAAGCGGGAAACCAGCGACGCTCCTGGAGCGCGTATTCTGTTTGAGCGGCTCCTGGGGGAGGAAGTTTCCCGCGAGGTCATCATCACTCGATTGGAATACCTCGGACACGTCCATCTCGGTATTAGTACGCGGGATTCGGAACCAGCCTCCGCGATATCTGTCCGAGCATACCAAATATAATGGGGACGGAAAGAATGAGTGCGAATTTCCGACACTCAGTGTTACATTACTTGGGCAGACTGTCCGTAATGATTATCGCTCCACATCGAGACTACAGTTTTCCAGGATGGCTCCTCTATGGAGAGATTTCCTGTCAGGATGTATGAATTTCTCTCCGGGAATCGTTGACGACCTAAATAGTTGAGAGTATGCTCCCTCGGCCTCTGCTGAGCGGGTTGTGCACCCAATGGAGTATTCGTCAGACATTGAATAAGGTTCGCTTTCTTTTATGGCGAACGTCTTGCCATTGTCAATAAAGTTGTGACCCACTTTCGCGGTAGAAATTCCCCTTCACCATAGCCTCTTCGCTCTCCGTGGACAACCCTCACATTATTTATCGGAGACCAGATCTTATCCGAATTCTCGAAAAGACGAGAATACGCGATTTGCGGGGCCTATGCCCCTCATTAGTGGATACGTCGTCGTACCGTAAGTCGTCGTAGGTTGAGACCCTGCTTTCATCCCTCCACCTGACCACGTCGAAGCTTACATATCTCCATCACGTTCGCGATCAGTGACATTCTAATGAAGGCTGCTGCCATCTACTGAACGGATGAAACGGAGTCGAACAGATGGATCAGGTTCACGTGATGAGCACGTTATCGGAGCGCTCGGAGCTGAGAGGACAACTTATGAAACTAACCGAGATCCGAGCTTGATATTTACTTCGGAGATCCCCGATCCCGCTTCGGGGGTAGACAGCGGGACCTGGGACTCACTCAGTAAACTTGGCGCCGTCTAGGGTTGTTTGCTCCTGAAAGTGATTTCGGGTCTTTGATGGGCTGGAATTTCAATTCATTAGGAGTTACATCTGAGCTCCGTAGGACGATTCCACCCTAAGCTGCAGCGGTTCGGGCTCAAAATATGCCCGAGGCGAATTTTCTTCCTTGTAATCCCTCGCAGAGAACCTCCAGGAAACTCACATGGACCCTTATCCTGTAGGGAGTCGAGAATCCCTCGAAGAGCCATGCCTATACCTCTCCAATTATTATCGAAAGGGATCGATGTGAAGGCGAATACTGCTGTTGGGCTCACCCATTGCAGCCCGATGCTGGAGGGAAAATTCTCTCCCTCCAATCGCGAGGAAAGAATGGGAAATATTCACATCTGGGAGTCCTGGGAAAGAATTTACGTGTATATGTATATCCATCCTCGACTTGTGCATCGATTCTCGGCAATGTCACGGCTTCCCGTGTTGTTTTCCTTCGAGCAGATTTTCTCTAGGCGAGGGCTACCGAAGCGATTCGAGTGCGGTTATTGGAGTACTTACGTCGATTCGATGCGCCAGACTTTTCCGGGGAAACGCCAACATGGATTACACGAGTAGCGTTGCGTCCCCGGTGTTGCTGAGTTAGAATCCTCCGTCAAGCTCCACAGGGTTACGAGAACTGTTTTTCTCAAAACATATCATAAAAATACAATGCAACAGAAATGGCTCTCGAGAAGGAGATTGACTTTTATTCGGGCCTAGCTACCTGTAAGACCGTTTCCGATTCGAGTGACGCGGCAAGTGTGCCCCTTACCTACAAGAACGGAGCGGAATCATGGAGGAAAGCGCTCCACTTCTATGTCTGAAGTCGCAATGAATCTACGCTTCCCGATATAGAGTTCGTTCCGATGTCCGCTCCCCATGCTTCGGAAGGCGAATTGTACGAAGAGGGACTTCGGAGCACGGGTCCCCGGCATCTTATCTGCGAAGGGCCGGGATTCCTGGTAATCCGAAACCCAAAACATTCGAAAGTATTCGGAGCAGCGGACGTCTTATGCTCAATGTTTGCTTCCGGTAGAGAATGAATGGAGAACCCATCGAGGAGTTGCATTTTGGCGAGAATCTCCACAAAATTCGGGATGTATCGTCTCTGAGAGAGGGGCAGACCCTTCTGAAGTCATTGGGGTCTGTTCGCTTTCAATGATGAATGATGAGCCTATCAAGCGAAATCTCCACCTGATATTCATGCTATCTGGATACCGACATGAGAAACAAAATATACCCACGAAACCTAAGTGAGTCGAAGTGTTTTAATGTATGTCGAAACACGCTTTCAGTGGTAGGCAGTCCCAGACCCTCCCTTTTCTCCGGGTTCTTTCCCGATACGCTCTCCACAACGTGCTACAGACGGCGCCCCGGTCGTCTTCTATAAAGGATCCAATACAAGACAAACTCTCATCAAACTCGCCTTCAGTGTGTGATAGAATAAACTACAATCAGTCGACTACGAACCGAACAGTGTAAACTTGAACCTCCACGAGACCTCCCAGAAGCACCCCAGGTGAGCTTGCAAATCTTCCCTTCATTCAGATGGAGTTCAGAGCACTCGGTCTGGAGTGCTTCGTTTCGATGCATGATGAGATCACAAGAGAGGATGATCCCTGTTTCCATGATCCGAGCTCCGATCGGAAGCCGGCCCAATGAGAGCACGAAAGAGACTTGAGTGACCACCCGAAATGTTAGGAGCCAAGGCTCTCCTGAGTCTTCGCGATCGTTGCCATTGCGCGGCTCCCCACTCTGATCCTGCTTCATGGGATCCGGTGAATTATCGCGAAACACGCCATGGGTTTCGCGGACTCTACCACTTTTGCTGTTTGATATAACTATCGATTTTCTCAACCTTCCAGAATGCCTCAGAAAATCGACTCGCCCCTACGTTCCGTAACCGACGAGGTACCTCTAGTATCGGCACGCGACAAATTCACTCTTGTCGTTCTCGGAGCTTCGAAAGTTGGTAAGTTTGATCATCCCGATGTGGGACAGAAATTTGCGAGATCTTCGTGAGGGTGCGAGTGCGCGGAACGTCGCAGAACGATTTCGCCAGGCGTCTCTCCTCGTCGGTTGATTCGAGAAATCTCTCTTGACCCCATGTGCTGCATGACGCCTTATGCGTATTCGCATTAAATTGGGTAGTGCATGGCGTTCAGAACTCTGCTACTTGCCGAGGGGCTGCTCTGGAGGATCGGATTGAATTCTATTCCTTCGTTTTTCGTCGTCTTGCGCAGTGCGGGAAAATATCCTCAATCGCCTGGCTGTTTAGACCTTATTGTGCGCGACCTTTGTGACTGCAAACATGATCCGAAATCCGAGTGTGCGATATGCTGACACATTGTACATACATGCCCCTCAGTTTTGGATGGATCTCCTCTTATCAGCTAAAAGCCGGATCCGCAGCTTTGCGGATATTCGCTCCATGATAGGGATTCCAGTAATAATTGGAGTCACGATTCCGCACGATCGGAACACCGTGCTTAAGCTGAACGAGGGCTCGGTGATGATGCGAAGGGTATCGGATACATTAACGTATAAATCCTATCCGATCTCGCGGCAACGACATCACTCAAGTTCACAATGGAAACTCATTCCGGAAGAAACGTCTCGAGGCTCTGTTGTAAATGCGATATTCGTCTACGGGCAAACTGTTTGTTCGGGACACTTCCCCCAGAATCTGATGGGCCATGTCCGAGCCATGGAGATTACATTGGCGAGTTCAAGAGCTCATGGCCTCAATTGGCCTCACTCGATCCTCTGAATTCTTTCCGGGTCGAATCGCTTCTCTCTTCCATGGGAATAAAATGAAAAACCGCCTCAGATTGTTTCCAAGACTTTCTCCCCGTCTAAGCTTCTCGAATCAACGGGGGACCGAGGATATTAGCTTGCCGTGATCCTTATTTCCCTCCAAGTCCCGCAAGTAACGAGCTCGTGAGAGGATAGGAGTGCGACGCAACTGAATGAAATTGGAAACCACGTCGCCGTAAACACCTCTCGCGTCCACAGGCAAAACTACCATAGTACAGCAATTCCTGTACGGGAACCCGCCAGAAAAATACGTGCCGACCGTGGAAGAGTTTCATCAAGGAGAGCTGGAATTCGATGGAACTTCAGTGACGCTAGACATTATCGACACGTCGGGGGCCATGGAGTTTCCGGCTCAGCTGAAGGTCAACATACAGAAAGGTATTATCTTGCGGAGTCCTGTTATTTACAAGCTTGACCTTCACTTCACCTGCATCGAGCACTGCATGCATGACAACGAGGAATTTCCTTAAATGATCTTGCACGATCGGATGAGCCCCGAATCATGTATCACTCCGTCTTGGAAGTTGGGTCCCGGACCCGATAGTTTGCTCTCGACGGCAGCGGTGTGGGTCTCCGACGTCTCTCTGGGGCCTCTCCCTGGGTCTGTTCGCCGCATGGATTCTCGACGAGCTCTGCCGACGGTGATTGGCGGGGAAGACTGCGGTGGAAGGACTCTGCCGGTTTTAGGGCTCAGAATTTTCGTCCCTTGCAGCGGACGCATTCCTGCTCGTATTCTCCTACAACAATCAGGAATCCTTCGAACAAGCGGCGCGACTACGAGATCTCATACTGAAGCTCAACAATAAGGATCCGAAAATCGTCGTCGTCGGCAACAAGGGCGATCTTCTACATGACGCTCCGGAACGCTGTGCCATAAGTCGCGAACTAGCCGAGTCGCTCGCAGTCATAGACTGGGAGGTGGGATTCGTCGATTGCTGCGCCAAGGAAAATCGGAACGTTTTAGAAATCTTCAATCGATTACTTGCACTATGCGGCCTGCCCTACGAACTACCCGAGAAACCGAAGAAGTCCAAACTGCGTAAGACATCACTCCCGTCGTTCGTGGCGAATCCATCCGATCCCAAAGTCTCGGGGAGACGGCATAACTCCTGCAATGTCTCCTGAAACCGCCAGAGACCAAGCCTGTGAAGGCAGAGAGAGAGGCGATGAGAAAAGACCAAGATCTCGGCGGGCGGGAAGTCAAACATAACGAGTCCTGAGAGCTCAGGACGAGCGAGGCAAGCTTAACGAAGCGAGCGGCTAGGAAAAACGACGACGAAATTTATGAGGAGAAATCCCCGATGGAAAGACTACTCTGTGAGCCTTTCTCAGCTGGAAGCGTTCTTTATACATTACTTTTCTTACTTTTATACATATTTTATCCCGGCCGACTGGAGCGTAGAATATTTCGGGACCGTGTAAAGTAGTACTAGTGCGAAGAGATGGTTGAGGAGTTCAGTCGTCGTTCGGATTGTACCAGAGATGACGTACGATAGCGAACAGGAATCGACTTGCTCGGTTCCTGAGAATGGAGTCCGTAACGATACGCAACACGCAACATTGAAAAGTCACTGCCACTGACACGAATACATACATATGTAGGTAGCCAGCCAGCCGTCGAGCGAGACTTCTAGGTACGAAATGCGACGCGTACGACAAATATACCTTGAAGCAAGACACGAATGAGTGTGCAGGTCGGAGATACACAGGAAGTGTATCCATGACTGGTGGATGCCCAAGTAGAAGCGGATTTTTCGCGCGTCTACCATGCGAACCACAGGGTGTGATCGAATGTGATATATGAGTGTGATTATGCCGACGATCGCGTCGGTTGGGTGATGAGTGTGATGTTTTTGAATGCGGCCAACTCTACAAGGTTCTACTCTGCGACTCGCCCTGCTCGAAGAGAGTGATGTCATCACCAATCGAGCAGAGTTCTTTTGATTAGAGGGCTGACTTCTCCTGGGATCTCTGAGAGATCTCTGAGAATCTGTCGCTGTCCATAGACCGATGTGGCTTGTTCCTGCTCTGATGGAGAGGGAAGGAATGTGACCAATAAATCAGATGTGGTGCCCAACAACAAACAGGTTTTCTCATGATTTTTCTAGTAAGCTCTGTGCGAGATAGGAGAGGGTCCGGAGTGGATCTAAATTGAGATCGCAAGTTCGGGGAACATCGAGGATTTTCTAGTGATCTCGCATCCATGGAAAAAAACTCGGGAAAGAACATTCCAGTGCTTTCCCGTGAGATCGAAACGAATCGTGGATCAAACTAGCTCATCCATCTGAATTGGTTCTCCCTCTTTTTCGCAAGTCTTTCGGTCTTACTGAAACATTCCCGACGACATTCGAGGGAAGCTTAAATGGTCAGAATGGTCTGAAGCCTCAGGTACCGAGCGAGGGAGCCGCCAGGTGGGAGGTGCCTGTAATGGGAGCTGCTGGATCCACTCGCTCAGAAGCATCGTCCGGCCTTTTCCCGCTGCCTATCGGAGGTTCAGAGCCCCGAGTGCGTACCCGACCGCCGCGTGGTCGAGACTTGAAATTGGACAGCACACAAAACGTGACTCCTCTCCTCCAAAAGAGCAAACGGAAGATTCTCGAAATCTCGGATGCCACCCAGCACAAAAAGCAAGAACGGTTTCGACGGGCTCCATCCGTTCATACACCTGCTCGATGTATCTGTTGTGCGGGATGAATATCTGGGAAACAAATCATCGCAGGCTATCTCTCCTTAGACATGCGGAAGCCAGACTGCCGCAGAGAATCTCTATTTTCCCGAGTCCGGAGGCATAGGGTTACACAACTGACTGAGGCGAGGTATAACTTGCTATAGACTCCGCCGAATCGACGGCTTAGCTAACACAAACTTCCTGTCCGAGCGGACTTGTAACACCCGAGAATGCCAGGGAATGCCTTGCGAGTCGAGTAACGCGACAAGGTGCGGGCGATGGCGAAGCGTCATCGAGTGAACGAGGAGCGAAGCCGGCTCCAAGTTCGCTCCAAACGAAGGCCGCACGCGCGCCCCAACCCACAAACGAGTCACTTCCAATGAGCTGCGAATCTCCTTCATGATCGAATATTATACAGGAATCTACCTCTGACCGTGAGCTCCGGTGAGAGAAAAAGGATGATCGAGTTCAGCTCGGTCACTGAGGCTTCTTACGAAACACCCGCATCGATTTACGGCCTGGATAGGTTCAGAAGGGTAGGAAGGAGGTACCCTACCAACAATGCGTGCTGTACGCTGCGACTCACCGTCGGGGACCCTGATTCGGGGAGATATTTCGGAATCTGAACGCAAAAGCCGGAAACGGTTTACGCGCGCACAAGAACTCTCTTGCACTTCGTTCGGTGTAATCGGCATCCTTGATCCTTGACCTCGAGTCAGAGCATTCATGCTTGTTTTTGTAAGACAAACCCGCGCTCCCATTATACGGCATCCTCACGCAGGTTTCCGGCGAGGGTCTTCGACGGGACAAGGGTCTCCCGATGATGAGAAGTTCCCATGGATCGAGCCATGAGCACCTGGTCGTCAACACTTGCTGGTACTTCACCGGAATTCCGAGATCCAGTTATCGAAGAGCATCACGGCGATGTTCGTATGGAGTATCCAATGTCTTATGAGGAGATTTAGAACGAACGTTTTCTGGAAATGTCTTCTAAGGTCGGAGTCGCCTCCAAATCTTCTGATCCGGTCGCAGTTAACAGGATAACCTCACATGCCTGCTCATTCCCGGAAATCAGCCTCTGTTCACGGGGAAAGCTGGTCGGGCAACCAGTCTCCTAGGGTCGCCTGAGATTTCTCTCAGCGGATGAGTGAACTGCACGCTGCATTGACGTCTTCTCCAGAATTCACTCAACATTCTCTTCAAGAAAACCGACGAGGGTGAACAGAGAAAAATCAGGCATTTGGTGACGATTCATGAGAAGATCGGTAACGTCTGCCCGTCGGGATTAGCTGAAGAGATGATGAATCTGCTGTATTGAAGCAAGACATTACGACTTTCGAGATTTCCTTATCTATTTGCGACTTTCGAGAGTTCCTCATTTTCCCCAGCTGCATTCAATTCGATTTGTCCGCGTTCCCCTGTTCAAAAACACCCTCCCGCCGAGGGAATGCATAGCAGGCCGATGTGAGGAGATTGAGAGGAGACGGCTGGTGCCGACGTGTCAGGTGGAGACGAGCAACTAACAACGGTGTCGTTAACGTCGCAGGCGCTGCACTGAATACCTGAAACTAGGTCAAATGTTCTCCGAGAGCTACCGAATAAGACAGTATACTAGTGAGGGAACCACTCACTGCTCTCTCCGGTGACGAAACTGCTAAACGCAATAATCGGAGACAACAATAGAGTTGACTTCAGGGTCCGAGATTTCTCGGGCTTCCGCCGCTCCGGAAGAAAACTCGCTCGATAGAATGGATAGGGTTACCGAAGGGGAAACACTGAATAATATTTTCTTCAGCTTCAGTACGCCTCGGTAGAGAGCCTCGTCCTGAACTCAGGGCTAGGACCTTCTGTTATCCCACTCGACGCTCCGGACTCTGAATGGGATAGTAGACATAATAAGATGTTCGTCCGCATTCATGGGCCGGTCCTGTGAATGGTCCCACGTGAAGCATTCACGACCGCGAACTGCATAACAATATTACTCTCAGCTGATCTTATTCCGGAGTGTGTCGTCGTCTATTCTTAGATTCTCCAGATTACTCGCACTTCCGAACAAAGCTCGGTTTGAGCTTTGAGAAGCACCCGCCGTCATTAAGTTTCTCGATCCCGTCATTGACGAATCTGAGCCGCCAGCATTCAAGCGTCGATGCGAAACAACAAAAGACAGGGGAGTCGAGAAAGAAACGGACTCGCTTCCGAGGTCTCGGTCTCAGGACCGACTGGCGACTGTGGAGGGCCCAAGGATATCCCTCGTGTGTTGCTCGTCCCTTGGGAGAGGCTGGGTATTCACAACAACAGGATTCTTCGTCGTTCCTGGAGGTGGATCGTGACAGCGAATCTGCCTGCGTCCGGGGAGCTGGCTTCGCTTTCAAGGTACTCAAGCTTCGCAGGGTATCCGGGAGAGTTGGAGAAGATCTCGGAGGCCCCAGAACATTCGACGAAAACCCAGGGGGAAAAGAAACCGGTCGGTGAAAACTCTGACGGAGAGCACCGCATCGTTCTAAACCCGCATTTCGAGACCCGTTCGAGTGTCTCTAAATTTCAATTTCTTAGGGTGCCAGGTTTTAATTCGGCGCGGGAATCCTCCTCTTCGATGCACCTGTCACCCGTGTCGAGTCTCCCAGCCGAAGTCGACACCCGCGACTACCATCTCTACTCGATGTCTCCTATCGGCGGGAATACGAAAACGATTGATCGCAATCGTTCGAGCCCTACTGCGACGCGTACAACAATTGGGCCACGGACCTCTTGTAGCTCACAGATTGGAGATTCGTTTGCGTCACTTCCGAGATGTATTTGACCAAGCGACCTACCGACCGAGCGTTCCATCCAGGCCTGCTGTCGATTGTGAGCTTGTCGAGAGATGGAGGCAAGAAGGAAAAAGGGAAGGAACAGATATGGGTTTATGGTCCTCTTTTTATTGAGACGACGCTCCTGACAAGTGGGTTAACTGACGGCTTCGTGCGTGTGGACTCTTCGCGGGTTTATTTGGCTTGCTCTCTTTGTGTCGCATCCTAGTGACCCTTCACGGAATCACTCCGCCTTGATAGGACCCCATGGCAGCCCCAGCGGACATCCTGGGAATTGCATCGCGAGGAGTGGTCGCCTGGGAGTATCCAAGCGCCTTTGTGCATAAGGTGAGCGCGATCGTCCCAGCAGACAATGTTCCTGCGAGAAACTTCCCGGAATTCGGAACCGCGATCGCCAGGCTTTTATCGGAAATTCCCAGCCTGGCATATGAGATTGAGGATGTCTAATTATGTTCGCATTTCAGGACGAGGCCGGGCAAATTGCTCGAGCTCCGCTTATGAGACCGACCTTGGAATCGCTATCGGAAAACAAAATCAAAAACAAAATGATTTCTCGAAAAACATTCACGTCCGATATTCGAAAGTCGGAAGCGCTAGAATAAACAGGCTCTGGGGTCTTTTTCAATTTGAACAAGACTTAGTAATTA